TTTATTAAATGGTATATTTTTGTTTCAGAAACAATACAATTTTTACAATTGGCGTTGCTTGTTATCAGTTGTTCTTACAAGCAAATTGGACTGGACCTTTGATACCAAAATTGTATGTTTTATCAGGAATTGGGTATAAGTTCCTAACTGACTTTTCTTTATAAATACCCACTATCCGTTCTCTAGGGAAATTGTTCTGTAGAAAAAAAATATTTGTATAATAACTTGTATAATTTATATAGGAATTATACGAGTTATTATTATAAATTGCTCCCCATAATTTATCCAGCCAAACACAAACTACAGACCTACAAAAATCTGTCTGTTCAGCTCATCCCTGTAGTCATCCAATACAACCAGTCATACTATTGGAAAGTTTCACTATTTGTATAAGGGTTATTTGGAGGGGGGGGGAAGCCATTAGCATCGCTCTATCATCAGTTTACACGAGTGAACCAAAGAGAATGGGAATAAAAATCCTCTAAAAAATTTTTTCCTTAGCTCTAGGAAACATTTTCCCCAGAAGATTGCTCTTTGCAAATCAAATTACAAACTACCTTAAATAAGCTAAAATTAAAAAAAAAAAGCCAAGAAAGATATACATTTTATCTTACATTATTATAAGCTCAAAAACATTTAGGAACATCTATTCATCATCTTCTATCCTCGCATAAAGTTCTTTTTCTAAAGAAAAACAGTTCTAAAAAATTAGCTATTACTTTCCAAATTCACAGCATATCAGATATTAATAATTTAATCTTTTATAGATATTATTGTATTACGTTCCAATCATTGTCGTCTTATAATATAATTTTTATTATTATAATTTTTTTTCTATAGACTGGTATTTTAATTTTAAGATTTCTCCTGAACATTATAGTATCAGGAACAAATACTTATTTGTTGTTGAAAGAATACATTTTATTAATTCGGAGGCTCACACAAATGAGTCAATTAAAGGTTCATTTCAGAATTAATTCAATATCCCAGATTGGTACTAGTTAGATTACACTTTTTAATATTTGTATTATTTTATTTTATTTTTAGAGATTTAAAGAGTTGGGGTTCAAGTACTGCAGTAGTAGAAAGCTTAGTTAATGATTTAGATTGTGTATCTAGAAAAGTATTGTATCCTGAGCTCTTAGTATTTTCATATGCAGTTTTTAGTAACGATCAGATCAATATTTTTGTAAGAAAATTCAGCAATTAATCGACCATTTACATAATATCTATTAATTATATATTTTTTTTACTTTTTTTATCTGATTTTTTAGACACGATTTTGGTGGCAAATACGAATGCTCTCAACTCTACAATCATTATTAAATGAATTATCAAATGATATAAAAAAAATGTTTGAACTGGCTTTTGAGCAAATGGAAAATTTTGTTTTAGAAACTGACGAAGAAGCTTTATTTAGGATAGAGCAATGCAAAATTTATCTTTCTCACTATGGAAATATTACCAAAGCCACTAATTGTTTGAACACAGCAATGAACTTAATGGGTTTAGAACATTCACTTGTTGGTGAGTTGAAATATTATCATCATTTAATTATATTTAAGGAATCAAATTGTTTTAGGTGCGATGGGAAAGAGAACTAAATTTCAAGTAAAGGAACTTGCCCAGTTAACCCTAAATGTGAACTCACACAAGAGAGAAAATAATTCCAATCTATTGACCTCACATGAATGTTGTGATTTACCTAAAGTAAGAATCTGCTATCTAAAATAAGAATATAATTACAAAATTAATTTAAATTATGTTAAAATATTTAAATTGTATATAGGATTGTGTGCTAGATGATGAAAACCGTTTACCAGATATCAAGTTTACTAATGAAAGTGCTGGTCAATTTCCTAAATTGAACAGTCTTCAACAAGCAGCCATCTTAAATACACTGTAAGTACTAAATTTAATTTCATCTAAAATTTTTAATCGAAGATTATTTTATTTTTCTTAAAGTGTAATGGAACAAAAGTGTAAGCCCAAAGATGAACTACAATTCGAAGAATTACAGCCATATATAAGAGTAATTTTTTTATGATTTATTTCTTAAAACAATAGTAAAATATCATTTAATGATTTAGTGTTTAGTGTCACAACAATCTGTGTGGAGTATTCATGTTTCAACTTTGCTCCAACGATCTCTGCTAGAAAGGGATAGTAGAAAATCAGTGGAACGAGCAATGCAGCAAATTGAGGTAAATGCACTTAAAAAATTGGAGTTAACATTGTGAATTTAATTTGTTTTTTTAGACTTTAGTTAGCAGTTTGGATGTGTCAAATCCGCCTAATGTTGATAGGTTATATTTATTTCATTGTTCTTTTGTTTCACCTTCCTGGCAACTTAAAGCATATTTGGGGAATATAATGCTGTCAATTGGTGCAATCCAAAGTGCATTAGATTGGTTTTTAGCTCTTGATATGTGGGAAGAATGTGTTGCTTGTTACAATACCCAGGGCCATAGACATAAAGTAAAACTAAATATTGGAATTTTCAATTTTGATATTGATCAATATAATTTATACTAGGCTGCAGAAATTCTTAAAAATGAGTTACAATCATCGAACCTCACTTTAGCTAAACATATTTTAATATTATGTCTACTTGGAGATGCTACTGATGATATATCTCTTTACGAGGAAGCTTGGAAAATTTCAGATTATCGAAGTAGTCGTGCTCAAAAACACTGGGCATCTTACTATTACACAAGAAAAGAAGTAAGATGTATTTTTATTTAAAATGTTAAATTTTGAAAAAAAATCATTCAAATCATTTTATGTAATATTTAATATTTATATGTGCATATAGTATAAAGAGAGTATAGATCACTTCAAACATTCTCTCAAGATAAATTCTTTACAAGAAAATTTGTGGTTTAGACTTGGTTTTGCATGTATGGTTGAAGAAAGATGGTCAGAAGCTGCAGAAGCGTATAGAAGGTACTGCGACATCGAGACTGACGTGAGTAATGAAATAGTTAGTTCTGAACTCTCAAACAAACAAAATATTAGTATTTGATTGTTCATTTTTCAATGTTCTAAAATGTTATTACTTTTATTTTTTTTTTTGGAAAATTTAATCTAGCCAATTTGTGAATCTTACTTTTAGAGACTTTCTGATGGTTAAAACATTTGTTTAAGTCAAGTAGATTAATTTTTAAAATTTTTTAAAACATCAATTTATTATTAAGAGTACATTCATTTAAAACATATTAAAATTTTTGAAAACTTGACAAAGTATATTTCTCAAAATATTTATTATCCATATAATAATCATTAATCTTATACATTTAATTACGTAATATTAATTTTTTTTAATTATTTCTCAGTTCTTTCTGTTACTCTGTATACACAAATTTACCACATTGCAATAGCAGAATAATTAAAGCTAAATATTTTTCTATGCTTGTAAGTGGTTATATTATATTTTACTACATTGGGGAAACCAGCAATTACAGTTTTTTTGCTTGGGTTTTTGGTTGTCGTAATACAGAAAATGTTTAAGTAATATTTTGTATAAATAGTAATTAAAAAATTATTGATGGTTGAATAATATATTTTTTCTTTTTAAATTCAGTGTTTTGAAGCTTGGAACAATTTAGCAAAATGTTACATTAAAAATGGTCAGAAATCAAGAGCTTATTATGCACTAAAAGAAGCTGTGAAATGTAATTATGAAAGTTGGATGGTTTGGGATAATTTAATGGTAGTTAGTGTTGATTGCGGTTGTTTTGAAGAGGTATCACTTTTAATTTCTATTACTAAAATAATAATTATAATTGCATACTGTAACAAGAATAATTTTTATTACCAAAGGCAATCAAATGCTATCATAGGTTATTAGATTTAAAAAGTAAGCACGTAGATTTGGAGGTTTTGAGAATTCTAGTGCAAGCTGTACAAAATAATGTTAAAGATGAAAATGATAGACCAGCATCAGAGCATAGGAAATGTTTAATACAACTTTTTGGAAGACTTACATCACAAGTGCGATCGATTATATTAAATTTTTTTTATTACACCGTATTTTTTTTAATTACAATTATATTTAGGTACAAAATGATGGTGAAATTTGGAAATTGTATGCTCATCTTGAAGAAGCTGTACCAAACCCAAATAAAGAAACGGCTGATAAAGTTTTACACCATTTACAATGTGCCCATCGTTTCACCACACAAGGCAACAAGTGGACCCAAGAAAAAAATTCCTGTTTGTTTGTCTCAGGATTATCATTAGAATTAGCTGAAGGTATGTGGTTGAATATATATTTATTTTAAATAAACTATATTCAATATTATCTTTATATTATGTTTTTGATTTTGCAGCATACATCAGCTGTAGTAACCAAACAGAAATTAATGACCAAAAAAAACGGTTTCTTTCATCTGCAAAGATAATGCTAGTGTCAGTGGTTTCACAAATTGAAGTTAGTTTTTTAAATTATTTTTTTTTAAGTATTTTTATTTTGTTTTTTATGTTTTTTATTTTCAGAAAGAAAAATATCTTATGGAAAGTGCAGACATAAGAGAAGAATTTGAAAAAGTTAAAAATATGTTAAACAAAATCAAACTTCAACTTTCAGCAGAGGTGTAGATATTTTTATAATGTTACAAACATTTGATTTCTGTATTTTAAAAATTGCTGAATATGTAATAACACAAATTTGTAATACAAAGTATTCTGAAAAAAATTAACGACTTCTTAAATCATTGTACAAGTAGATTCATACTCAATAAAAGTATTAAAAAGTACACTTAAAAAATGTAAACTAAAAGAATCAATGTTTTTCGGCTATCAGTAAAATATTGAGCCTAATGCAACAAAAAAATACAATACAATTATTGGGTTGATTTGGATATAACATTCTTTTCACTGTTAAGGTTGTATCTTTACGGATTTAATATTACTTAAACTAATAGTAAATGCAGAAAAAAACAATTTTAATCAAATAACAAAATAACAAAATGCACTGATCAACTTCAATTATGTAAACATTTTGATTTTTAACACATATTTTATTTTAGATTAACACTATTCACATAACAATTTGAATTTTGCTCATTTGCGTATCAAGTGTTTGAACCAATCAGAGTCTAGGACATACTCTTTACCACTCCACAAAAAATGTGTTGGCACATAACTGTCCGTATCCTTGTATTTGAACATTTTACTAAATTCAATAGCTGTTCTAGATGATACAAGTCCTATTGATCCATATTGTTCACTGGCTGGATGGTACACTCTACCATTTTCAACATCCATCCAAAGCTTGTCCGGTTGAAATAAAACTGTCAACTTTGGACCAGCATGGTTATGACAAAATAACAGATTGCCATCGTCACCTTTGACTACCTGATTGAACACAATTGGATGATCATCACATCTAACAAAATTTCGTTCTCTTCCACATAATGATATCCATGGAAAGTGTTCTTTATATCGATCAGTTGTGTTTAATTTTAACCGTTTGAAAAAAAAAACCAAAAAATCTATTTCTGAAAAAATATATTTTATTGTAGGTAATATTTCAAAACAAATTTTGAAATTAAAACATTCATTTAAATTATAAATTGAAATACAGTGGACGCCGCTTATAAGACTCACAGATATAAGGTTCAGTCACTTATTAGACTCCAAATTGTCTGAAACGGTCCAGACGTATCCAAATACGTTATAAAAAATTCGGTTATAAGGCTCAACAATTCGTTTATAAGACTCAAATTTTGTAAAAAAAAATAGTAAAAAATAAACATTTTTGGTCAAAATTTAGAAATAAATTAATGTTTTTTTCCTTTATTATGTGTGTATGTACAACAAATTGTATAGTCTTTCACATTTTCCAATATATTTCTGGAATATTAGTTTATAACTAAAAAAAAAAAACAAAATCACAATTTTTTTTCATAAATAATAAATAGGTACATTATACATACATCTTTTATAATTTTTTATTAATGCATAATATAATCATTTTTTACATGTATTGTAATTTAAATTTTTTTAATTTATTCAATAGTAATATGTATTAGAGTATTAAGATTAAAGAAAAATATGTAGTAAAATAAAATTCATAAATATGTAATCAATTTTTTTTCCCACTTTTCCTATTAGATTCATTCAGTTATAAGACTCACATTGTCCCAATGTGAGTATTATAAGCGGCGTCCACTGTATAACAATTTAATTTTTAATTTTTAATTTCTTATATAAAGCATTTATTAACCATAAACAACAAAATGTTTACCTTTATAAGCTGATGTAAAATTTTTCATTTTGCTATCATCCAAAAAAAGCTAAAAATGACATATATTTTAATATTAATTGTTCACTATATTAAATTTAAATTATTCATTTAAAAAAATGTAATTTTTAAATGTTTAATAAGACATTTTAAGATAAATACAATTTTGATAAATATAATTAATGCATTTCATCCTACTGTTATAATATTAAGTGAATAATCAAAAAAAAAAGTTTTTAAATAAAATATTTACTACCATTTAGCACCAAGATAAAGTTATAGTTTAGTTATAAATTCTAAAATATCACAAGAAAAGTTGTAAGTTTCACTGCAAGGTGGGAATATTTTTGCAAAAATATAACCTATTGTTTTTAAAGATTAACAATTTTGTATAAAAACAAATATTTTGTATTAAACATTTTTTTACATTTTTCAGTTTATCTAATAATGCAAAATTGATCTACCAACCATTCCTTGGTGATCTATGTAATAGAAATACTCTCTTATTTTGTTCTCTGGTGATTGTCCTTGTACGTATGGTACCGTAGAGTATGTTTTATTTTCATTTATAATCTGAACTTTATCCTTAAAAATTGTGAAATTCTTCAAAAAGCAGCGAGACTTTATACAGACTGAGAACATCCTTTTTGTTTTAAACATATGGACTTGTTTTTTTTAAGACTGCTGTAGCACCGTGAATAAACAATCTTTATTAACAAAAAACAAAGTATTGTATTATACTATAACATAATCTCCTTTATTCTCCTGTTTAAGGTACCCCTGCAGGTACTTTCCATTTATATATTGGATATTCTATCTATTATAAATTGATACATTTTATATAATAACTGTTCAATAAAAAATCAGTGATGCTGATTCAATTTTTTAAAACCAAAATGTATAAAAACTTGATTAGGATTTTTCATTTGAGCGCACATACAAACTAATACAGTAATACTTAAATTATTATAATTATGCCTTGAATAGTTGAATCTTAGATTTCAAAATGTGTTATTTACCTAAATAGGTTAATTTGTATTCATAACCATATTTGTTAGTCATATATTAGAGAGTTAACGTTTCAACGTTTGTTATGTACTATTCACATAAAAATGAGTATATCTACAAACCTTGTGTCCCCAACTATTAATTGTATAATGACGTTACTGGCTATCAAATACAATAATTATACGTATATGCCATAATTCACAATAAACCATTAGTCATAAGTCATACTATAGCTTAACTACAGCCCATAGGCCAGCACAATTTTTTTTGGAAGACACTAATTAATACAAAAAATGGGTAATTTTCATTTTTCACTATTTTAGTATTTTTAAATTTCACATTCTTATCTATGTTATCAATATTCAATACTATCTACTATCTACAACGGGTAGCCGTGGTAACAATACAGAATATTATGTTCTATGGTAATAACCATATTCTTATCTATAATAATATTTTTGAGATAGGACGTTTTGAGCATGTTTTTTCCTGTTAATATTTTCATGCATTTGTAGTCATATTGATGTTTAAGTTTTCTTTTAACGTTTCCGTTTAAATATTATTGATTAATACTTAAGTTAGTAATAATAATTGCAGATATGAGTTTAGTTGGAGCTACTAGAGCTTTACTGCTTTTGGGTCGGTGTGCTCCGTCAGTCAAGCAGAATGCATCAAAAATTGTTGTTAAGAAATTAGAATTAGACCAGAACCTATTAATGGTGAGTCGTACAGTCATTTTTTTTATTTATTACGCATATAGAATAAAGCATTGATTTTTTTATAGTATTTTCATAAAGATGAAGTGTATTATGCTCATGACCCAGAACAACGGTGTAAAACGGGCGATGTAGTGCTCATCCAAGAATTACCAGAAAAATTAACAACTCACATTACTCATCAAGTGCTCAAAGTTGTGTATCCTTTAGGTGATGTTACAGATCCTATATCTAATAAAAAAGTAGCAGCACTTCGATGTGGAACAGTTTGTTACAGGTTTGTCAAAACAATGGTTGTGTACTTCTTAAATGTTTTATAGATTTGTTTATAGTTAAAATGTCTTTTGTTAAATGTTAATTAATTCTGTTCCAATCATAAAAGTCCTATATGATATCTGAAATTTTCGAATGTAACTATGTTACTCTGTCTTGTAAATGTTTATATTTACATTGTTATATTATTTACAGATCATTAATATTATTTTATAAGTTATTTAAATTATCATGAACTTACAGCTCAGAAATAATATTTCAAAATTTTAAATTAAAAAGTTAAATAGCTATGAAAATATTTTTGGGTACTTCTTACAGCTTTGAACTAATTAGTCTCATTATTCATTACTTGTAGCAAAAATAAGATGACTTAGGTATAAGGGTTTTCACCTAAATAATTGAATAAATACAAACTTATAATGGTTAATAAGACTCTTACATTGAACTTATTCGTTACTATCGTAGAATATAAGATACAAATAAGTATAAAAATATGTTAAGTACATTACCAAATAAAATAATTCAAAAATCATTAACGTTTGATTTTTAAATGTCCTGAAAAATAATGAAATTATGAAATATGTATTTTATATTTTTAAATTTTTATTTTTTAGGGAGGATATCGAAGAAATTGATAATCTTTATGGTCTATCCAAGAAACGATTCAATTATGACAACGCGCCCAAAAGAGGTTGGCAAGAGGACAAAAAAGATTTTTCGCATAAAAAAAGCTACATCAAATACCATGAATCAGGAGAAGAACAGCCATATTCAGTTCCAAGATAAATGTTTAATTTATATATTTAACATTTTTATTTGTATTTAGGAAACATAGTTAATGAATAATATTAAATAATGTATCAATTCTTTAAAGTGTTATATAGATGTCTATTAAAAAAATATGTGTTTAATTTGACTTTATAAAATTATAAAAAATGTCTTCTATGTAATAACTTTTAAAACAACTCTACAGCAGTGTATCAAACATATTGCTTATTAGTTATTTACTCTACTTGAATTAAGAAACATAGTGGGAGGCCGACTTATTCACAGGAGCATATTAATATTACTCAGCAAAATATATTTATAAAGGTATTCTATGAGAATATATCCATTAACCATAAACCGGTTTTTCCGTTTTACCTATACACTAATAAAACCATTAAAAATCATCAACATTTTCAAAAAAATAAACTACATAATTTATAACTTCAACTGTTTCAAAAATTAAAAAAATTAAATCTTTAACTTTTTTACCAAAAAAATGTAATTAAATTAAAAAATAAAGTATAAGTAGTCCTTGGCTCTATGAGCCTAATAAAAAAAAACAGATTTATGTTATATATTTTATTATCTCAGGAGATATCACAATGAGTAAATCCTGTATGAGACACTCAGCTGTATAGATAGTTTCTCAATCAGGTGTTCCTGGCTGCTGCCAACGAAATCTGGTCGACTGTGTTTCTTGACTTAAACGGTGTATAGTTATTAGTATAATATAATATTGGTATGCCTGTTTTAATATTTGTAATGTACATGATAATATAGAATAGTATCGTACATTATACAAAATTTGACCAGAAAACACTTTAATTATAAAATCAAAATGCTGAATTTATAAATTTAATTTTGTGCCTCTCTTTTTATTCATATGAATGTTTAAGATAGAAAAAACTATAATTTTATTTAATCATATAAATTGGTCAGTGGCAGCTCAAAATTGTAGAGGCTTTGTAGCATACTGTATATTTTAAAAATGTCTACCACCAGCCCTCCATTTAACCAAAATAATCAGCAGGAACCATTAATTATAATATTGGTCATGATATTTGTGTTGAAATTTTACCATTATACACCTACTCGGACTCGGACAGACATGAAGTAATTGCTTCAAATAATCATGTATCCCGCCACCACTGAAATCGGTTAAGTTACTGTTTTTTATATTTCCTATTCCCGGAATTCCACCAGGAAAATTTTTATTAATTATATTATCTTGGACAGATGGTTGTACTGCTGTGTTTCAGATTTCTATTTTTGTATCTTGCCTGAAAACAACATTTGTTCAACGATTTGCTTTCTACAATGTACACAAGCGGAGTTCTTGGTATGATATAATTAAATAAAAATAAACACTGAGTAATACTTTTTAAACTAAGATTACCTATATATGGCATGGCCGAGAGAAATTTAAATTGGATTAAAAAAGTATAGTGCATTTTACATTTGATAATTATTTTTCTTCACTTAAGTTTTATTTTTGTATTGTTTCACTTACCTAACCTACTATACATAAAAATAATCAATTCAAAATCCTGTATTATTGTCGCTACAGACCGTCACATAGCCATTCAATAATTCTCGAAATGTATTTATTAATAATCAACAGAAACTGATTGATATTATAGAAAAGGATTTTATGTCTTTTTTTTAAGTCCGTTGCTAAAAATAATATTTTTAATACAATTTAACAAATACTGGCTTGATGAAAGACATAACGTGTAATATATTTAAATATTGAATCGTGCAATATTATTCTGTTCATAAATGCCGAAGTTTTTAATATATGTAGTGTAAAGTATTATGAATAATACTTCTACCCGATCAAAACATAATTCCACTGACGGCGCTTTGTATAGGCAAAAGTGATGCATAGCCGCATAGGTTCGTAGATATGTATTCTATCTCAATGTAATTATTGTAATTATGATAATTAATGTAATAAAATATATTTTTAATAACAATATACTAAAAACAATAAGAGATTCTAAAAGAAATGTTTCTATACAAGATTCCACAACTGCCTAAGTATTCACAACTCATTCGAAACTCTCATTAAAAATTTGGCCTCTGCTACTATAGGTACCTGGTAATCGCAAGACGCCTAAATCACAAGTGTTGTCGTGATTTGTTACATAAAAAAAAGTATAAATATTATGACAATAAGGTACTTGTATAGGAAGCGTCATCAATGGGTGGCTGCTTTTATTAAAATCATGTCAACCTGACATATTTGTTACTTTTAGCACATAATATTCTTATTGTTTCAAATAGGTACTACATAAATTACTGAAATTTTATAATACAAACAATAGTCTATAGTTATTTATTTCCGTGAACTACAGTGGTTAATAAGTGAGTATAATTGTGTATAATTGTCAAATGCAGCAAGAATTCTTCTCTAATTAATAAATGGGCTGGTTGATAACTTTTTTAACTACATGTGCTCTCAAAATACGTATGTGCAATACTGGAGCGTTAAGAATCAGTGGATGAAACCTGTAGATTATGTAAATCATAACAATAACATTTTATTTTAACAGTTGTAACTACCTAGTTTATAAAGTATTATAAACAATTTGGAAACATCGCATCCAATTTCAAGTGCAATCGTACGCATTTGAATGGTTAAAATCATGTTTTTTGTTATTCCGGCACTGCACACAATTATATGTTCAAAAAGGTAAAAAGCGTGTAATCGTACTCCATCGGTCCACCGCCTTATTTACAGGATATTATACTGAAATAATATATTACAGTATTATTATATTTTGATGGTAGAAATGTAGTTAGAAAATTCTTAACAAACCCAAAATTGCATAATAAAGATATTTTAGGAACTCGCTTTTAATTTTCGTATTACCTAGAACAGTAGCTCCTACTCTCCTTAAACCACGGTTTCTGGTTTATTGTAAATATTTATCTATTTATCCTAGCCCTGTACAACAATTTTAAACATAATACAATTTAAATAATTAATACAAATAACACATATAAGTTTATGTAAGATAATAATTTTGCAATAATAATGTAAGTATAGTGGTAGTATATATATAATAGAAATAGTGACACCTAATTTTAATTTTGTCAGTTTTGGTAAATGATGCATTCTATTGCATAATACATTTTATTGATATATTTTAAGTAAACATAAATACATTTAATTTTAATAATTAAACCGGTCAAAATCCGCAATATGTATCAACATTTTTTCAAACATATTATCTTCTTCTTTGTAACACTGCCTCTACATAAACTCAACAAGGTAACTGTTTAACATTGATCTACTTGACCCCATCTCTTCTTTTTCTTGAATTTAGCCTTCCCCTACATACTTTCTACTTTTTGTGTGTGTGCTCCAGTCGATGGATTTACGAAAGCAAGGGAATGGTTGGCTGTAAGTTCAGGCACGTTGCTAAGGGGAGCAGGGTGTGCCTGGCCCACCCTAATATGTGTCCGGCCGTATGTCGGCCCACCCAAGGTATTCAGAAATCAGAGGGGCCCATTATTATACGGTGGCTTTTAATTTTAATCAAATATTTAATATTTTCTAAATACTACACAAATAAAACCAAATATAT